ATGACAGTAAATAAGGAAAGCTGGATGAAAGGAATGTCGAACTAGACTTTTTGTGTGGAAGAAGAATAATTACTTGGAACCTACATTGAAGATTCTTTAAAGAAAGTATCTTGCATTTTTTACTGGAATCATAGAATGAATCTCTGTGTGAACACCACAGGTTTTGGCTTATGGCAGAAGTTGTAGAACCAAATGAAGGGTTCTAAGTGGCACTTTCTCATCTTTGGTTCAGAGTGATTACATATTTTGCTTCCAGATGTAGGATAGTACATATTGTTCATTAATGAAAACTTCCATCTTTAGGCATACTGAAATATTTACAGGTAAATGGTTATACCTGTGATAGTATTCAAAATAATACAAGGTAGGTACTGGAGCAATAAATGCAACAAAAGTAGTCCTGAATTGATAATTATTGAGGCCAAATAATGTGTCCATGGATGTACCTGGCTATTCTGGTTTTGCATGTTTGAATTTTATTAGTAAAATGTGTTTAAAATCTCCTTTTAGTTTTCTTCTCTCTATGATGCCAGCAATGATGGTATTTATTCCTATTTTACTGATAGACCTCTCTGATTCTATTAAGGAACTTCTCCACAGGTGAACACATTTAGTGGCAGGCAGAGCTAGCATTCTGTGTTCCGTTGACTTCTACACTAGTATAGGCTACACTTGATTGAATTTGGAAGTTTCCATTAGGTTATTAATATTCAGAGCAGTTTACTGGATTCTTAGGTCTTTGAAAAGGTCTTCAGTGGGTGCAGGTTTGACAAAATGAAACCATCTTTTCATGTTCTACCTTGATACCTGGAATGTTCACCCCAGCCCACAAGTGACTGGGTTAACACTTAAATATCACTCAAAACTAGTTTTTCCATGATCCCCATGTAGCCTTTCAATAATCATCCCCTCCTCTACACTATGCTTTGTATATTGTTCAAATTTCTGTCATAGCATGCTTGACATTTCAAATATAGTATATACATGTAGTTTTTACTTCTGAAACTAGAATCATGGACTTAAGTTTTAGGGCTTTGTTTGCTTGCAGAATGACAACATCTAGTAAGTATATACCCAGTCACTCAAACAGGCCTAAATCCATTGATAATCAGGCATTAGATGTCCTTGGTTTGGTCAGTTTTTGAGTGAGAATTTCCCTGTAGAGTATGATGGCAGTGGAATTGAGTAGCAGAAAAATATTTCTGCCACTATGTAATACATAGAGGATGGCACAGAAGGGTGACAACTGAAGTACTACAAAGATACCAGGTCCAAGTTATCATACTTGATACGTTGAAATGTTTTACAATGTGATTATTCCTCATTTTGAAAGAATCCTTGCTTTCTTATCTCATGAGTAACTGCTTGTTAAAATTCTGCACAAGATCATATAAAATAATATTTATCAAAATGAACTCCAGGAAATGGAACCAAGGGTTTTTTTTTCCTTTGTTGCTGCTTTTAGTTCTCTTGTTTACATGTCTTTGGGAAAGCAAGGTAGGGTACAGAAATTGAGGGACAAAGGGTGAACAAATGCAGCAGTGGTACTCACTAGATATTATGTTGAAAATGAACTATGCAACTTCTGGGAAGGGGGAAAAACTGGGAGAGTGAGGGAAAGGATAACATTGTTCAAAAAATGTATTATTTACCTGAGTTATGTAACTGCAACCCCTCTGTGCATCACCTTTGTAATAAATAAAATTCTGGCACAAGATATTGCTGACAAGAATGGTTTACAATGATTTGTAATTAGGTGTAGTTGTCTCCATACCAGCTTTCTGGGTTGTTGTTTTTTTTTTGGGGGGGGGGGTTCTGGTCATGGGGCCTGAACTCTGGGCCTGGGTACTGCCCCTCAGCTCTTCAGCTCAAGGCTAGCACTCTACCACTTGAGCCATAGCGCAACTTCCAGCTTTTTTTCTTTTTGCTTATGCGGTGATGAGGAATCGAACCCAGGGCCTCATGCATGCAAAGCAAGCGCTCTACCACTGAGCCACTTTCCCAGCTCAGCTTTTTTTTTTTAAGCAAAAAGGGGGATGGGTGGTCATCAGTAGTTTTCACATAATTCATAATATAGAGTCAATCAAGTCTACCTGAAAAATAATCATAATTAAATGAATTCTGTACTCCTGCTCCATCCCTTTTGCAAGACCCATCTAGTCAATTTCACTGTAAAAAAAAGTGTCATTTAATGTCCTTGGGGATCCTTTCATTCCCAGTTAGGTTTGAAACTCACTGGTAAGCAAGAGATCCAGCAAGGGCAGTGTAAAGGCAGTATTAACATTTTTAGTAGAGAGCCAACTTGTTTGTGGTTTTGCTTTGCTTATAATAAGCTCTTCCAAGTAAAACTGATGGATTGGCATAGAAACAAGGGTTCAAAAGTAATATCAAAGGGCTTTCCAAAATGCTAAGCATTGGGTGAATGACTGCTCTGCTTTGGGTGACCATCATTTATTTTACCTCGCTGAACCAAGAGATACAGGATGCAAAGTTCTTAATATATGCTGCCTGAGTATACAAAGAAACCTATTAGCTTATGTGGCCTATGGTGTTGTGTTAATACTTTACAATCTATAGTTACATTGCATACTTCAAACACATGCAAATTCCATTACACACTGCCATTGAAAGGTGCTTTCACTGCATACTGAATTGAAAGTAGTCACTGATAGAGTAAAAACTAAGCATATGTTGGGTAAACAGCAAAGCATTTTCCACACAGTACTGCATTTTAAAATAGCTAACTTTATTATCAGTGAGAGGATAGGCACACAGTGGATTTAAATCTGCTGAAACTTTATTGAAACTAGATCTGTTGATTACAGAGTAAGATCATAATCATTATGGGACAATATACATTTTAAACCAAAGGCAATTGTATAGCCATCTGCCAACCCCAGCTATCCATTTTACAAATGCATACTGTTAATCACAAGGGAGGTCAGAAGGAGTTTTGCTAGCTCCATGTAGTCTATCGTTGCTACCAGGAGAAAATAAACAAACTCTGACACTTGTCCTACTGATGATGGATGGAACTTGGAAGATGTATTTCCAAGGAATATGGCAGGCTGAAATTGCTGGCAATCTTTCTTTAAAAACAGAGCATTTCCAGTAAGAAGGCACACATTTTAAATATGCTCATATATGAATGAGCATGAGATAACCAGATTTTATGATTAACAGATGAGACTATAATATACCAAAGTTAGTGCACATGTATGCAAGTAGAGCTGCCACATTATTTGGGCTCTTCATGAAAAGCAGTTTGCAAATCAGTTTGTTCAATTTGTAATCAATTTACAAATTATTTTGTTCATTTGCTAATCATTCTACCCAACAATGTAACAACATAAACAGAACATAATAGGTCTCTTGGTATGTTTCCCACAGCAAATGATGGCAGACATTTCAGGTTCCTGTTGTCCCATCATCTTGAAGATCAAAAGCAGCATTGAGATTAAATCCTTCATTAAGACAACAATCAAGATACATGATTTTAAAAAAAAGTTCCATCTACTTTTAATTTCCAAACATTAGTAATAGGAGTTTTATACCAAGTAATGTTCATTCTAATGAAGTTTTCTTGTACATGGAACATTGGGGTACAACTGAATCAGAAGGTCCCCATAGACCACCAGGCAGTACAAGTTAAGACAATAAGGTCACCTTCCTATCACAAGGAGCCAGTAAAATGCATAGATAGGTGGAAGTCCAAAAAGATTATCCCAAATGTTACATTCACACAAGTACAAAAATGTGGCTAACTTGAAATTTTCCCCATAAGCCTGATTTTTAAGATAATACCTTTCTGAAAACATTTAATTTATATTCCTCATAAACAAGATACATTAACATGGTCTTTTTCCATCTCTTGGATGTACAATGATATTGAAGCAAATCACTTGGGTCTGAAAACAATGCAGAGCTGGACTGCCTCTGGTGTAAGTTGGAAGAGAAATTCTGGAAAGTTCAAAACAGTACTTAGGCAAGAACAGAACTTTCTCCTTTTCCCCAAAACACATGAATCAAAGAGATGGCTGCCACACAGTGTGGAATGTACGACATTTATCACCTTACAGAATGCAATTATAATTATGACTCCCAGAGCCAGCAAAAATTCTGTCAAAATGATTGCCATGAAATGATATCAAAGGTTTATTTTTATTTTTGTTTATTTGCTTGGACAGAAAATAACTCTTAATGTTTGCAATATGATGGCTTTTCTCCCCCTTATCACTAAAGGGTAGTATGAATGAGTACTAACACAACTGGACATTTAATTTCTACTTGGAATTTACTTTATAACTGAAGACTGATATGTGGGATGATCACTTCATTATTGAAAATGTGAAAAGACTGGCTGAAAATTACATTGCCTTCCATCTTGTGTCTCTTCCCACCCATACAAAACAATTCCTTTAGAAAATAGCCAAGAACCACAAAGGAATACAGATAAACGTATTCCTACATTCACAGAAGAACCCTGTAAAATGACAGCCATTCTCATAGCAAGAAAAGTGGATCTGATTTCTTATTTCATGTGACTCAATATAGAAATGAGAATCAAAAAAGGCAAAACCTCATACAAGGCACTGAATGAGAAGCAAGATAAGATTTCAGAATCATGGATAATCTACTCAAACTGGAGACATTTTACATTTATGACCTGCACCAATAATACGGATTTTCTTAAAAATAGTTTTCAATTTTGTATATAAGTGTTTCTCAAATTAGGCATGGTAATTGGCAGAGTGGACAGATGTGCTGTGTTATATTACAAGTCACTGAACTTGTCCAAATCTCAGATTCCTCAAAACTAAAGTTAGAGAGCAGGGCTATATATTGCTAAAGTTCTTCCCTGCCACTATGGCTCATGATATAATATTATCCAGCTACTCTTCTATTAATCTGGTTTCTAACTAACATATCCTCAAACCTCTAAACCCCCCTCCCTTACCTAACACCCTCCCACTCCCTTCTCCCTCCCTAAACCCCTGATGTTAATGACACTATCTTCAGATTTGTCACCTCAAGAAGGTAACTCAGGACAGGAACCTGCGAAAACTGGCATTCCTCTGTGTCCTTGGAGGCAGCATTATTGCAACAGTTACTGCTGCAGCCTTCTTTTGTTTCCTGCCTACATACACATTTCTCACCACTTCCCAAAGGGAGTCCAAGATAGAGTCACTGGTGGTGAGAAGAGGTAGTTAACGGGATGGTTACAATCAACCTACCCCTGAATGCAGCCTGGTACTTATGATTCTGATGCTATTCCCTTGGAGGTAACAAATACATATGCCTTCAAAGACATACATTAAGAGTCTGGAGAAACAAACCTAGTTATTAGAAAGTAGTCACCAGATATGCAAAGAATTCAAACTGTCATCCCCAAAATGCTTCCTCATTCTGTAAATGACTGGCTATTGGAGACTGGTGGTGACCTAGCCAATGAATCTGAGTTATGGAGGAAACACATACTAAACAGATCTTATAAAAAGTAAGCAAGCTATGCTCATGGCTACACCCAAACCACAAAAGTCTTCATGCAACTTCTCACACAATACTGTATCAAGTTCTCTTGTGTCTAACTCCTTGTGAGAGAAGTTGTGCATCAACCAGTTCATTTACTTTCTCTAGCATCTGAAAGCAATATAGCAATATATTAATTATCCAAATGTATAAATTACTCCAGAGTGTGTGTGTGTGTGTGTGTGTGTGTATATATGTCTGAACCTCCAGGATGGAAAAAAAGAATCCATTTCCAAAGCACCATTGAAATGAAGATAAACTATCTGATAGGGCAAGGTAGCTGGCAACTGGGAGGAAAGATTAGCACCAGTACCCCAATACTCCCTACCTTTTCTCCACCTTATATATCTCATAAGAAAATTCCCTTTCATGAGCTAGAGGCATGAGCTTTCTGTGGCTGTTGTGTAGTCACCAGACAAAGCAGTAAAACTCAAATTCTCTGGCTTCTCACTTCTGAACTACATGTTACATACTGTCTTCCACACATACTGTGCTCTTCAATAAAAAACAAGTTCTGGAATATGGAAAGTTTAAACAAATTTAAGCACATCCCAAACATCCACGTGTATCATCTACCTGTGAACAGTCCTAGTACTCATAAACATCCCAACAATAAACCTTAGAGCACATTCTGATTGATTAATCTGCCTTTTAGAAGTACTCCTTAAGTATACCAGAATATATTTGGTTGGAATTCACATGGCAAACCTTAAATTGTTCCAAAAAGATGACCCTTTAAAAAATCCCCTCCCCCAACCCTTATCTCCACCCTCAGAATATGAACAACCAAAAGGGAAAATGATTAAAAGCATTTTTTCGGATAAACTGCAGCTCTTGATTTAGATGAGATACTCCACCATCTCTGCATCAGGCTCTTGTCCCAGGATCTGAATGGGAGCTTTCCTTTCCAGAGTACTGGAGTGGAAAACCAGGCCATCTGAATGGAAATAAAGCATTAGAAAACGTTCAGGGAGGGCTGGGATGTAGCTCCGTGGCAAAGTGCTTGCCTAGCAAGTGCAGTGTCCTGGGTTTGATCCCCAGTACCAAAAAAGAAAAGACAAAAAATCCAGTTAACAAAAAACAAATAAGAAAACATTTAGGGACACAATGCAAACCCTATTTTCAAAAGACATGATTGGAGAGCTGACATGAATCTTATGACAAAATATGACTTCCCTGCCACCCACCTCATTTACTTTACTGGGAGAATAATGAGTTTCACTCCTGGCCCATTCCCATCTCCATGAAGGAGAAAAGTCATTTATAGACTTTCTTCTCTCTTTTACTGAATCCCACCTGGAACATGAATATCTCAATCTAAGTCATCAGCTATAAGCGTTAGGCACCAACAAATATATCTGTATATGAGGGGTGGGGGGAAAGCTACCTGCTACAGAAAATTAGTATTACCTGTCTTGTCTGGACTGTAGGTCAAATTTGATGTAGACAGACGATGTGATCCAGAACTGGTGGCTGGACTTGCAGGAGCCTCAACCTGAGCCAGAGCTGGAGCTGGAGCTGGAGCTGGATTAGCAGCCATAGCCGGAGCTGGAGTTGGTGCCTGAGTCTGACCCGGAGCAGAAGCCTGAGCCACTGCTGGTGCTGGAACCGGAACTGGAGCTGGAACCGGAGCCGGAGCAGCTGGAGCAACCTGAGCAGCAGCAAAAGCAGCAGAAGCAGAAGCAGGAGCAGGAGCAGGAACAGGAGCAACAGCAGATACAGCAACTGGAAGCTGAGTAGCAGCAGCTGGAGAAACAGCAGCAAGAACAGGAGCAGTTGCTGGAGATGGGGCAACAGCAGCAGCAGCAGCAGCAGCAGCAACAGCTGGAGCAGTAGCAGCAACAGCAACTGGAGCAGCAGCTACCATGATGGTGGTGTTGGTGGCAGCAGTGGCAGTGTTGGTGGTAGCAGTGGCAGTGATGGTGGCAGCAGTGGCAACAGCGGCAACTGGAGCAGGAACAGAGATGGGAGCGACAGTTGCAGTTTTGTTCGGTTCCGTTCCACGTTCGGTTTGGGTGCTGCAGTCTCGGCTGCCAGTCTTGGAGTGAGCTGACAGCAGAGGAGTGGAGGGGGGCACCGGCGAGGGTGTGGATGGGATAGACTCAGCACGATAGTCTCCACCCAGGAGAATACCTACAAATGAAGCAGGGAAAGAAATTAGAGAACAGTTAAGTAATTTCTGTCCAAGCATTTGTTTAGCAGTTCTCCCTTGTATTTGAGGAGAAACGTGAATGCCTCTAACAAACCTTTGGAATCAAGCATCTCCTACATGGTTAAAAGTTGCTTTGTAGTTTGAGAGATCCCTTTTGGTCACTGATAGTCAACTCCCTGCACAATATATTAAACTTTTAAGTGCCCTGGTTATTGGTTCCAATTTATTTTTTTCCCCACTTGTAATTGAGCAATTCTACTACATTCCAGTTATAACCCCTACCACTTGTTACCATAACACTGAAACAGTCCTGCAGAAAGCCACATTAAGGTGTTAATATTCATATGGCCTAAGGTTCTGAGCATGACCAGAGTTCCAAGACTGTTACTTGTTAGTAAAAGAACATTGCAAGTGTCAGAGGCCATGAAAAACAACAAGAAGGCATGAAAAACAACAAAAAGAACTAATATATACATACTAATATATGTGTGTATTTGACCCCCAGGCTCTAAAAATGTGCTCCTTGGTATTTACAGTACTCTGGTGTTTTGATTAGACAGGAAGGAATAAACAGGAGTGGATTGAAAAGGTACATTCTGTTCTCTCTTCAAAACACTCTGGTAACCAAAATTTGCCACCCAGCTCCATTTAGCTTAATGAGAACTCTGGGCCTTCTTATTGTAATTGAGGAAAGAATATAGAAATGTTGAATGTCAGAGGTTTTTTTATGAGTTGATGGCCACATTGGCTTTGGATAAATCAAACTTCCTACATGGCAAAGGCTAAGTCTGAGGAATTTTTAGATGAAGTTAAATGTCATTCAAAAAGAACATTTTATTCCCCAATGTTCTCTCCATGAGACTGCTATGTGTGGAGTTCCACTTGGATATGTAGAAGCCCCATGAGGGGAAAAAAAACCTAGTTGGGCACACCTTTTTTTCCTAGAACCTGATCTGTTGCCCCTTTACTTTGGTGTGTGAGGCACTTGGTCAGGGCTATCTTTAACCATGTCACTATCTTCTTTCTTATTCACTATTATTACCTAGGCTCCCCTTCCAATTCTTGTCATCTCGCTTCTCCTCCATGATGGGGGTACCAGTCAAGGTGGATGAGTGGGAAAGCAAGCCTGATCCAGCATTTGAAATGGACATCAGGGACTTTGCTGGCCGCATGGATGATAGCTGCTCTGTCTTACTCTGTTCCTTCCGGGAGCGCTGCTGGAGTACTTTGATCATGGCATCTTTCTCAATAATCTGGGCATGGAGAGTCTTAATCCTAGGAGTCAAAGACAAAGAAAAATACAAAAAAAGCCATTACTACCTCTGATTACTGGTCTTGCTGCCTACATGGACTTGAATTCCCATTTTCTTTGACAAACTTAAGTCTTGTTAGTTCTGCATTGGCAAACAATTTTAAAATAAAAAGTACATATTTATGCATACCAAATTGAGTATCAGAATGAATCTAGGAACTGTTTCTTACACCTTGGAAGGTCTAAGTATTGACAAAACAAAGGATGTATGAGAGACTCAACATAGTGGGTGCTGCCATGAAGAAACTGAGTAAATGAAAACAAATGAGAAAATGAAGTCTATGCATAATCTTCAGGTAATAAGCAAATGATCCTGAGCTCTACCTCCCAGTTTGAATAGAAGTTGTTTTCCCAAGAAGTCTGTTATGTCATAGATTTGAGGTGTAGTTCTAGAAGGAATACCCCAGAGTGAAAATATAAATTCAGCTATGGCAAAAGGATGAAAAGAAATTAGAAAAGCCAGAGTACAATAATCCTATGAGGAATCCAACAATTAGTAGGAGTGAACAAAGTAACAGTCTTCTCATCTCATACCCTAATGGGATGACAAGGATGGCAGGGATGACAGGGGTGTAAGTGGGAGGAGGGAGGCTACATGATTTTTTTCAGATGTTCTTCCTTCCCTGCTGACCCAACTGGCCTTTATTCCAACTTCTTAGATCTAGACAAGTCCAGATCAACATTTTACCTGCCCTCCATATCCAGGCAACGCTTGTTGGCCATCAAGATTTCTTCTTCCTCCTTCTGGATACGAGCTTCTAGAGCTGTGTCATAGCTGGTGTTAGGAGAGTGGCTGATGACTGTTGTATCCCTGATGAGAAAAATAAGTGTGATGATGATGGGAATGTAGAAAAATCGATAAATGCTACTTCTGTCTTAAGCCAAAGGAGGGTTTGTTGGAAAACCTTAAGCTGAAATCATTCTTATTAGGAATGACTGGTTTCTAGATGATTTATTGATAAAAGTCTCAAAAACTAGGAAAAAGAAGTTGGTGTTAGGGGCATGGCTGCCAAAATCTCTGTCAGATTATATGAAATGTCCCATAATTGTCTTCAGAACGAGACAGGCATCCTTTCTAAAACTTTTGGCTTTAAAATTGTACCAAGTAACAAAAATATGAATATATTTTACTTTGTCTCCTGATAGTCCTAAAAGAGAAAAAGTAGGTATCGAAGGAAATCAGAGGGTGTTTACACAGTTTACTGTGAGGGTTAGAAAACATATCAACAGTTAAGATCTGGTAGAGCATTGGAGCTGACAAAGAGATATTTTGTCTTAGTGCCGCTCACTTCTGTATCTAATCTACATTTGTAACATTCTAGTACCAAATCAATTAGTTTATCCTATATAAGTGATTGTCCTCTTGACAGAATTTCAACTGCATAAAGGAAAATCATGTTGCATTTCAAAGTGTATTCCGTCACTAGCTCAAGACAAATTAACAAGGAAAATGTGGGAAGAGACAGAGATGAAAAGAGGAGGGAGAGACAGAGAGTGCTAAGATTAAAGAGAATAGTGATTGAATTATATTAGTCAGAGAGGCTGAAGAATATTGAATTGGCCCTGTTTCAATGCCCATTTCTACCAGAATGAGGAAATGTAAAGGAACTCCAGGTACATTTTCTACTGGCAGCTAGCTATGTTCTCCTGACTTGTCACTTTGACCCATGAAGATGGGAGTGAAGTGGAAAGGGAATGACTACATGGAAAGTGTACATTAATGTTGAGGAAGGTGGGGGTGAGCCTCTATAAAACCATTGCTTATGGCTTATATGCAAATCTAATAACTAGAAATAACTAGAGATGTCATCATTTGATAAATTTGAAATATTTTAAGATCTATGCTTCCTCTAGTTTCATTCACTTGTTTGTGGTTCTAGTGGATACGTTGAGAATAAACATCACTACATAATGCTCAGGACTATGGATTTGACTATTTTGAACACTTAGCTCATCTCTCCAAGTACTCTGCCACTAATAACCTTTCTGACTTCAAAATAAATCAGTTACTCAATAGATGTACAAGACACTATGTTGCGAATGAACTTTACAGCTGGGGTAGGGAGGGAGAAGTTGGGGAGGTGGGGAGGGAAGGGATGGTAGGGGAAAAACAAAGGAGGGGGTAACAATGCTTGACAGGAAATATACTCATTATCTTACTCATGTAACTCTAACCCCTCTGTATAGTATCTTTACAATAAAAAATACATTAAAACAAATAAATGAATCAATTAATTGCTCAAAGCCTGACTTACCTCATATGAAATGGAAACCATAATTGCATCTTCATCTTATTGAAGATAAAAGTAAAATTATGCATGTAAATCATATATCATTAGGCACTGTAAAAGCATTCAATGAAGCTATTTAAACAGAAAGAACTAGCTAGACATGGTGGCTCATGCCTATAATCCTAGCTACTCAGGAGGCTGAGATTTGAGGACAGCAGTTCAAATCCAGGCTGGGCAGGAAAGTGTGTAGGACTCTTATCTTCAGTTAAAAACCAGAAAACCAAAAGGGCAGCTGTGGCTCCAAATGGTAGAGTGCTACCCTTCAGCAAAAAGAGCTCAGGGACAGTGCCCAGGCACCAAGTTCAAGCCCTATACCAAAATAAATAAATAAATAAAGAGTTGTATGTATCAAATGGAGGAAGTCTATAGGTTGAAAAAATCCCAGCATTTAGTATAATCCTGGAAGCCATCCTTGTTCTACACTGTGCCAATATGAAATGATAGATGAAGGCTTAGAGTCAGGCCTCTTGAAAAGTGCACGGTGTCCATGGACATGGGATTTGAACATATGGTTTCTCACTGGGGGAACTATGGCTGGCAAAAATCCACTTTCACTGCATAAAAGACCTCTCTGGGTACACAGGACTTTGCCAGCTAATTGATATGGACACTGTGAACTCCTCAGGAATGAAGCCTTAAAATGTGGGACACTTGGTGAATTCCTACAGGGCCACCAGGACTACACTGAACATCAATCTTAAGCTATGAAACCAAGAATTTAGGAAAAAGCAAGCATGCAGTGTTCGAAGGAACAATTTCCAATACTCTGACACTGTCCCTGAGGAAAGCAGGAGAGAAATGCTGGCCACATTCTGACAACTCAGCTTGCAAATCTGGAAGTACATATCCCTGAATTTGATTCCCTAACTCAAATTCTTAAGTAAACAAGTTTTGTCAGCATCTCCCCTCTTCTTCCTTTCTTTGATACTATCATAGTGTTTAAATTCCTCTCAAAAATGTCACCCATAGCTTTCTTTTTTAAAAAAAATACGTTTTTTTATTGCAAAAATAGTGTACATAGGGGTAATGAGAACATTTCCTATCTAGTATTGTTACCTCCTCCTTTGTTTTTCCTCTACCATCCTTTCCCTCCCCTCCTCCCTAACTCCTCCCCCCTCCCCGTCACAAGTTGTAAAGTTCATTTTCAACATAATATCTTGTACATATAATTGTTACAATGGGTCAACCTGTATCCCTATTTAATAGGAGCAGCATCCTCTCATGTACTTAATATATAAATTTTACTATAAGTGGAGCACTGTGTTTAGAGTAATTAGGAAGCTGAAGATGGGAAAAAGAGAAGGATTAAGCCCTGGCTTCAGAAAATTTGCAAGGAACACAAAGAGTAAATAATTAACCACTACAAGAACGAGTTTGGGCTTTATTCCAACAGACACTGAAAATTACTAAAGCTTTACAAAGGGAATGAGAAACTTGCCACAAGCTTTAGGAAGACAGCATTATCTCTCACTAGAATGTGATGGAGAGATGATGGGAAAGAGACTGGAATCAAGCAGAGTAGTTGGATGACTGTAATAATCTCAGTAAGAGATAATGAAAACATGAAGTGGTTAAGTGGCAAGAGAAATTAAAACAGACAGTAGGAAGTTAGAAGTTGAAGGCTATTTCAATGTGGGTGTTATGGAGAAGAAAGAATAAACTTTGTTATTTCTGATTCAAATGATGGCATATCATTTGTTGTCATTGCAAACAAAGGAGCACTCTCATCATCTTTTATTTTAAGGACACTGGAGTCAAAGTTTCATGAGAACAGCCACGTAACAATAATATCCAAGTAGTTGTAGGATATTCTTTCATCATAGAGATGCTAATTTCTATTATTTACAGAGAAACCAGAGTAGAGATTAAGGTAAATAGACATTGTAGAATGAGGAGAAAACAGAGGCAACATGAAGTCATGAAAGGAACAGGTGGTCATGCATGATTATTTTGTGAAGAACTTCTGCCTGCTCTCCTCTTCTTTATTGCCTTCTTTCTTGGCTTGCTTGCTTGCTTGACTGACATTATCCCACTTGAGCCACAACTCCAGCCCAACTTTTTCTTTCCTTTTTCTTGTTTTTTTTGAATATGGAGTCTTATAGACTTTTCTGCCTGGAATGGCTTCAAAACTGTAATCCTTAGGATCTCATTCTCATCAGCTATTAGAACCCAGATTCAAACACTGATTTTATTTTATTTTGTCTCATATTTTGAGAAAGGATTTTGCTGTGTAGCCCAGATTAGCCTTCAAATTATGATCCTCCTATTTCCTCTTCCTGAGTGCTGGGGTCATAGGTAGATACCACCATGCTTGTCTCAAATACTAAATTTAAGGAAGTCAAACAGTAGAGTTTACTCTCCTCCCTCACCTTGTTAGCTTTTTTTATAAGACAAAGATTCCATGCATACAACTGACCAATATTAAAGAGTTAGTGTATCTAATACTTAGGTGCATGTCATAATGAAAGGCAATAATGACACTTTCCAAATGAACTAAATACCTATTTCTGTAAAGTTTAAAGCCATGTCTAATTTTTCTTCCTCTATTCTTGTGTGGAATTATTCCATCAATAAGGTGCAGTTTGGAAAATCTAAGTACTGAAAGGGTTATAAAGTCCACCTGATATATCATCTTGTATGTCTTCTCTTATATAAATGTCTATATTGTTATTCACAATGGCCCAAACTGGAAACAATCCAAATATCCATCATCAAGTGAATGGATAAAAATGTGGTACATCCATTCCATGGCACAGCATTCAGTCACAAAGCAGTATGAACTATTAATACATGCATCAACTTGGATGGACCTCAAAATAATTATGCTGAGCATAAGAAGTCAAACAAAAAGAGCAAATACAATATGGCTCTTTTAATATTGACATTCTAGGAAACAAAATTAAAGTTTTATGATACAAAAAATAACAGTCATTGCCTGGAAAAGAAGAGATCAAATTTAAGGGTTACAAGGAAACTTTAGAACTTGTGCTTTATCTTGACTATGGTTGTAATACACTGTTGCATTCAATTCATTCATCAAACTGTACATCAACAGTTGGCAATTCCTAATATAGAATTAACACTTTAATTGAAATAAATCTATAAACTCCATTTTTGTGTATCAAGTAATATTCCCCAACTATGAAACCTGTGAGCTATCTATTGTATACCTTGTGTATTGTACACAAATTAAGATACTAAAACAAAACATCTAAACCAAGTGGGACATTAAAATGTGGCCCTAAATTTAGGAATCTAAGTTATACATTCAGAAATTATCATGTATTTCTTTCACTTTTTTCTTTAACCTTTATTTTTTCCTTTCTTTCCCAAATAAATTTTGAGTAATTCCTTTGGTAGTCAATAATTCTAGGACCTTCAAAATTATTTTCAAAATAAAAAAGACAGACTTGGTTAATACTTTCACTTAAAGTTAAGAAGAATAAGAGGTTAACAAATGGGTAAGGCAGAAGAGCTCACAAGTTTATGAGGAAAGAAGGATGGCCAATAGACACATGAAGAATTGCTCAACCTCTCTAGCCATAAAAGAAGTGCAAATCAAAACAACATTGAGATACCACCTCACCCCAGTTAGAATGGCTATAGTCAAGAACTCTAATAACAACAGATACTGGAGGGGATGTGGACAGAAGGGAACCTTACTACATTGTTGGTGGGAGTGTAGACTTGTTCAACCACTTTGGAAAGCATTGTGGAGGTTCCTCAAAATACTTCACATAGAGCTCCCCTATTACCCAGCAATCCCACTTTTGGGCATTTACCCAAATGATCACAAACAAGACCATACTAAAGATACCAGCATGACTATGTTTATTGCAGCATTATTTACCATAGCTAAGATATAGAACCAACCCAGATGCCCCTCAGTAGATGAATGGATCAAGAAAATGTGGTATATATACACAATGGAATTCTATGCCTCCATCTGAACTGAATTTTTTAATGTTACCTCCCCAATTTCTAATCTTGTAAAGAAAAGAAGAAAAGTAAATCAATCTTCATGCCATGTATGCAGGATATGATCATTGGAAATACAGTACCATCCTATAGAAGTGCCTACAAGAATCACTTGGTCTAACTCTCATTTCATAGGAATTGAATACATAACCTATTTCTTGATCTGCCCTGGGAGTTGAATTAGTGGCATAGGAAAAAGGCACAGTCTAGATCTAAATATTTACTAGTGGTAGAAGATGTTCCTATGAGTGGGAACAGACTGTGTTTTAATCATATTAAATCATAAGAATGAATATTTTACTAAAAACAGCAATTACATGAAACTTTGTAACAGAATTTAAAGGAAATTAATTAAAATAGGTAGTCTTCGGATAGCTAATGGCTTGAAAAAAAAGGAATGCAGGATGATATACAAAGCCCTTTCCTTGCTTTCCTACTTTTTGCCTTGGAATCTATGCTGAAGGTCAGCACCAAGAATTTCTGTTTTCTAAACTTTTCAGCCTTAGGAATTCTATCATTCTAACCTTTTCCAATGAAAACAATTACCCTGTGTCTCCCTCATTCTCACTAAAACAAGTAGTTTTCACTATAGTTCAGAATAACTTCTGAACAAGTGGTGGGCACAGGTGCTTCCATGGAAATTTGGAGGCAACATGACACTTCAAATCTGCCTCTGAATCTTATGACCATCTTCTGACATAGGTTGGGTTTCTGTGCACTTTACTACCACACTAGTATGCACTTAGCAGGCCTTTCTCAGGAAATAAATTGGAAGAAGCTTTAGACAAGGAAGATATCAAAATCAAATCATAGGCAACTTCAGTGTATTAAAGGTATAAAGGCTATCAATTGTCAGGATGATCATATTAGAGGTGAAAGATCCTTTCCTGAACAAACAGGAGCAAGTTTAGAAAGCATCAATCCTGCTCTTAAGCAGTTATATCCCTCTAGTTAATTTACTACGAGGACTTCAAAGTAAATGTACCATCACCCTGTCCACATACCTATACCCTAACCCACAAAATCTAGAAAATGATTCTAGGCTCTACTCATTTACTATGTGTGGGAGAATGTTAGAAACAACATAGATGTTTTAGGAACCTTCTGGAGAGAAACCTATCTGGGTGAAATAGTCCACAGTCTTCCTTCATACTCAATACCAGACCAAGTCTCTATCCATTATAGTTAACAACTCAACATCATCAACTGACTTGAGAGGTTTCCTCCCTTCCCTTCCCTTCCCTTCCTCTCTCTTTCCCTCTTCCTCTTTATCCTTTCTTTTTCTCTCAACTGATAGTTATGAGCAGCAGTAAGATAAACTATGCACAAGCAATTGTTTCCTCCAAAGACTAACCATTCATTTTTATACTATGTAAAGAACAAATAAGAAACCTCAAACAAAATTGTTCCTGCCACTTTCTCTTTCATACCAGATGGAATGGGACTGCTTACACAGAGAATGCACCCTTCAAATATAGACCTTCTCAAAGGGCAGCAATGGATTCATGTTTAGCACAGCTTTTGACATGCCCAGAATGAGCCAGAGCTATCAAATGGCAGCAGGCACTCAAGTGACATTTGCTTTCTAAGTGGCAATTTTCCAGGGAGGCTTTTCACTCCAGTTTTGGGCTTAAGCAATGTGCACATAGGGTTGAAAGGACGTATGACTCTAGGGAAGGAGGTGTGGAAAATAATAGCAATTGAATATTCAAGAAAACCAAGCTCTTAGAAACCAAGGAATCAGTTACCCATCTGGTATCCTCACTCCCACCATTCAAGTAGTGGTCCTTCTGCCATCTGCTTACCTCTGAGCAGCCACAGTTGCAGCAGCATCCAGAGCAAAATGTCTCATCACGTTCTCCTCCAAGTACTTCTGCTCCCACTTAGTCATATCAGCTTCCAGGGCTAGAATCCTCTCCTCCTTTTCCCGAAGGAGCTCCATCAGCGCAGCAGCATTGTATTCAGAAACATTGGTGGGCTGAGAGCTGCCTTGGCGCTATTGAAGGATATACCGAGACCCCTCCATTAATGAGAATGCAATCATAGTCAGGGTCTCATTTGAAGGGATTACTGTTCAAATTACTTTACATTGGATTTTTGGGGGGGTGGGTGGGTTTGGTTTGTTTTATCTGTTTTTGTAGTGCTGAGGATGGGACTATTGTTTCAAGCATGCTGGCAAGTGTTGTACCATTGAGCTACATCCTTAAACCATAATTTGGATATTGATTCTGGAAGAAGAGGGGAATTCAGATATTCTCCTCAAGATACAAGCCTAGGGCTTCAATATAAGACTTCTTAGTCAGAAAAAGACCCTACCAGGCTGGGAATGTGGCTTAATGGTACAGTGCTTGCCTAGCCTGCATGAAGCCCTGGGTTTGATTCCTCAGTACTTCATAAATAGAAAAAGCTGGAAGTGGCACAATGGCTCAAGTGGTAGAGTGTTAGCCTTGGGCAAAAGAAGTTCAGGGACAGTCCTCAGGCCCTGTGCAGGTTCAAGACCCAGTACAGGTAAAAAAAAAATACCCTACCATATCAAACTGTCATACTGTTCGGAAAGTGATTCAATGGTGTACAATCTGCCACCCTTACCTACAAGCATGGGATATAAGAGAAATGGAATTTAGAAATCTATGATTTGGTTCCTGGCTTTCCCTAATTTCTGTGATCTTTAGTGTATCATGCAAACTTCTTTGATTTCATCTCCTATAAACCCAAGGCTAGAAGATTTCTAAGTATGATTCCCAATACTATAATACTAAGAGTCCATTTGTATAGCAGCTTCACTTCTTATAGAGTTTCTGTTTGGGTTCATGTGGAAAAATAAAAGGTGTAAGATGGGAGTAAAAGGATGGTAGGGGAAAAACAAAGGAGGAGACAACAATGCGGGATAAGGAATGTACTCACTGCCTTGATTATATAACTGTAACCCCACCTCTGTACAGTATTTTCACAATAAAATACTTAATTTAAAAAATAGGTGTAAGATCTTCAATATTAAGGACATTTCTGTGATGAGCTAAACAAGGAAGTGGACTTCACATTTACAATGGAGAAGTAATTCAGAGGAAGATCAGGGAGGACAAAAATTGTAAAGAGAAGCATTAGCTTTTTTGTGTTCATGCTAAATGCTAAATAAGTAACTGTGAATAATAACTTTACCTCCATTCTTTGCTAACTTCCTTCCTCCTTCTTTCCTCTGCCTCTTTCTCTTTTCTTAGTTCCCTTACATTCTCCATACCTGCTGAATACGAAGGGCTTCCAGTTCCCTCTCCAGTCGTGTCCGAAGCCGGTGCTCCAGCTGCTCCCGTTTCTCACATGCTGCCTGGAGCTGCACGAGGGCCTGTTGCATTTTCTCCACCTTGTCTACGTACACTTGCTTCTTTTTCAGCTAGAAGTTCAGGTTGGGATATTTGCAAGATGGAAGGAAAGACAACAGTCAGCTATTTGGCCCCCAAATCCAGCCTGATGTTTAGATCTCTTCCTGTCTCCGAGTCCAAATTCGAAAAGAATGAACAGTAAGATGTGATGAGCCACAAGTTGCCTTGTGTTTCTCATATAAACACTATGATGAGGGATAGAGATTGAGGGCTTTTTGAGTTACTTCCTCCTACCCCCACTTCTATGTGTTCCCCTTCCCCGTCTATTTTCCTCAATATAGTGTCTTAAAGGGTAAATTTTTCATGTACAGATGTTCTCATTTCTGTTCTTCTCCAGTCTAAACAAAAATATTCTGGAGCAGAGTACGTCATATTTTATTCCTTACAATAGGAAAGAGAAAAAAAGAGGAGGCAGAGGAGGTTCTCAGGGGAGAAAGTTTAACTTGGTATATCTCCCTTTTTTTGGGGGGGGTCCAGTCGTGGGGCCTGAAGTCTGGGCCTGGGCGCTGTCCCTGAGCTCTTCAGCTCAAGACTAGCGCTCTACCACTTGAGCAACTACACCACTTCCGGCTTTTTTTCTTTTTGCTTATGTGGTGCTGAGGAATCGAACCCAGGGCCTCATGCATGCAAGGCAAGTGCTCTACCACTGAGCCACCTTCCCAGCCCCAGGAATATCTCCTTTTATATACTGTCTTTATATGTGGGGAAAAAGAGTAGGCACTGAAGGTACAAGGAGGACAGAATTGTCTTTTTGAAGTCTGTTCCTGGTAATTACCCAATGTAACCTATCACTCTCCTGGAAAGTTTTTTTTTAATGAATCTGCCATGCATCAAATGTCTTTAATTTTCTTTTAGTTTTGTGCCAGTACTGGAACTAGACCTCAGGGTCTCACACTGCTTGCTTGGCTTGTTCACTCAAGGCTGGTATTCTAACACTTGAGCCACACCCCCAATTCTGGCTTTTTCATGGTTAATTGAAGATAAGAGCTTCTTAATTTGGCTTCGGGGGTTGGTTTCAAAATGTGATCCTCAAATCTCAGCCTTTGAATTGCCAGGATTATAGACGTGAACCATCAGCACACAGTATCTTTAGTTTTCTTGTTAGCCAGTACTGTTCTATTTGTTCTTTAGAAAAAGGCCACACATTACTGGTGACTTCTATTTCACAAGCCCACAGTGATGACTGTAGTTTCTCAAATTTTGCTTTGGTAAATTGAAAGATCTGTAAGGACTCAGAAGAATTGATCACATTTAAAGCCATGTGAGTAAAAACTGGTTCATCCTCTTTGCAGGTGTATATGCCATATCCCAAAGTAAAATAGGGCCATAAGTGGTTTTTTCTTTCTTGCTATTGTTTCTAACATATTTATAATGTACTATGTGATCTTTTTGTTGCTTTGTATGTTCCTCCTCCACTTATAACCCCTGTTTTCACTGTATTTGATGTCAGTCTAATTTGGGGAGGGGAGGGGAAAAAACAAAATGTTTAAATAGGGATACAGATTGACCCATTGTAACAATGAGATGTACAAGACACTATGTTGAAAAACAAACTTTACAATTTAGGTGGGGGTGAGGGGGGGAGTGTAGTTGTGGAGGTGGGAGGAAAGGGATGGTAGGGGAAAAACATAGGAGGAGGCAACAATGCTTGATAGGAAATGTACTCATTACCTTGCTCATGTAACTGTAACCCCTCTGTACAGTATTTTTACAATAAAAAATCATTAAAAAAGCAGAGGCAATGGGGACTATTGATTCTACTGGTATATCCTTCTAATTGAAACTAACTCATGCCTCTCTAGCAATGAAGAAATGAGGCCCTAAGAAAGTGAATCTTCAAGAAGATATTCTGGATGGCCAAGAAAATAGGAGAAAGGACAGTCTTCCCAGTTTGCTAGCAAAAGGGAAGATTCCGTCTCTCATTGTACTTTTATGGCACCCTTGACATAATAAATCAACCAGTGGTCTCCTTATAAAGCAAAAATTCTTCCAATAAGGGCACAAACTGTCATTGCTGTTTTCATGGAAGTCTAAAATCTCTTAAGTTCTTGAGTTACCTATGTAGAGCCAATTGCAATGTCATCATTGCTGACAGCCTTTTACTTGAGGCTAAGCCAATATGGCCAATCTAACTCTCCCACTGCAGAAACCAGGTAATTCCTTCACATAGTCCAATCACTACTCTAGAATTTCCAGGTAAGTAGCACTGGCATGTACTGCTAGGGAGATAATGCTTGTCTAAAAATTGTCTATTCCACTCAATTGGAATTGTTGAACTTTCTTCTGGTGGAAGGAAATCTATTTTGTATTCCCCGACCAGACCTTTTGTGATGGGAAAACTCAATATTTAACCTATGTGATTGGGAAACATGAACAAAATATTTTGGATACTTTTCTTAAGCTTTTCCTTTAATTCTAGGCCTTATTCAATTTAACCATGTAAACCAGAGAAGAGGAGTTCTAATCCTAAGTGTTTTTACCCTATAAATATTTTCCAAGGAAATGAAACATACAAAAACTATCTCCCTACCTCTTTCTCTCAAGTTTAAACTTTTCTTTCTTAGGGCACATAACTATTTGTAATACAATGGTTAGGGTAACCAAAACTTTCTTCTATTTACTAAGTTTTGAATTATTGAAGAGCAGGAAATACTCTCTATCCTTCACCTTTGGGGTTCTATAATCCTTGTAAGCTTTTTAAAGTCAAATGTATTTGTGAATTGCTCTGGAAACACTAAGGAAACAGTGAAATGTTAATGCAGTGAATGTTAATTATAATTATGAAAACTTACAGCAGTAATACCTACAGGCAATTAAACTTAGATAGTATGCAGTTCTTGCCTTGATGGTGAAATACTGCAATATAAGCTCAGGAAATTGAAAAATGAGCAGTCCATGACTATGTATATTTGTCTATACAAAAGGAAATGTAAATATCTTAGCAAAAAATCTTCCAGCAAAAGAGTCACCAAGTCTACCTTCTTCAAGAGAAAAGGAATAAAGGCCCAAGGAAGTCTCTGTGCTGGCTTTAAAAGAAATACAGATCAGCTGGGCACCAATGCTCACACTTGTAATCAGCCACTCAAGATGCTGAGATCTGAGGTTTGTGTTTGATAGCCCATGTAGGAAAGGCCCTGAGACTCTTGAGCCAGAAGTGAAGCTGTGGCTCAAATGTTAGAGTGCTAGCCTTCAGCAAAAATGCTCAGGGACAAAGCCTAGGCCCTCCTTGAGTTCAAGATTCAGGACACACACACACACACACACACACACACACACACACGTACCAATCATATATTCAAAATGATCTCTTTGTAAATGCTTAATCTCTGGATATGTTAGAATAGAAAACAATTCTTGAATACTTTATAGATGTCATCAACAATGTCAGCCATTTTCTAAATTCCACACTCATCTATATATAGAAAGGTACAAATATCTAAAATATCTAGATGGTATAACTCCACTACTATCCTGCATTTTATAAGCTTCATGTCTACCTTTATTGTGATAAATTCCCTTTTCATCTTTGCATCTCTTCTATAAATTTATCTATAGTGCTCATTTTCTTGAGTACTATCAGTACTTGCCACACCCAAGTCCCCAAATTACTTACCCCAAGCACTTACAGAAGTCATTCTTATAGTACCCAAATCCCCAACTTAGCAGTGGTATTAGAAACATCAGTGACTCCTTTTTGTGTGAAAAAAAGGACTATATATTAAATTGGTTAAGGTCCTGAGTTCTAGACTCTGAACGCACAAGTCCAAATCCTTTCTCCTTCACTAGCTATGCAGCTTGAAAGAAGCTACTTAGATCTCTCTGAGCCTATTTCTCCCCAAAGGTTGAACTTACTCATTCATCAGTAACAAGGATACGATGATAATGTGACATATGATGTACCGATTTTAAGATCAAATGAGATAACACATACTGTCCTTAGTAATAAGTGTGGTACAAAAATTACTCAGAGGTCTTTTTCCCCTTTTGAGAAAAAATGAACAACTAGTCAAAGTTCTAATCCTTTTAACTAGAGAAAACACTATGCCTGAGGAAAATCTAGGCCTCAAACAGTTCACGCAATGGAGCTCTAATAGCATTCACTGGTGATACAATATAGGCAAAAAATCAGAAGTTGAGTAGCTAGAAAGACACCATATTCTCTCAAAAATAACATGTTAGGGGGATTCTTCTACCCTACCTGTCCTCAAAGGTTCTAAAGTCTTGTGGAGAAACATTTTCCTACCCTCTTTTTCTCCCTTCTTCCTTGTGTCAATATTTCCCTCTCCCATCTTTCCTTTTCCCTTTCATGTCTCGCATACACATACATATCAAACATCTCAATGAAAGGTAAAGAAGTAAGGTAGCAACAAAAAAAACCTGGGTTCTAGTTCAAGATCTGCTATTAATGGTTACTTGTTTCCCTGTTGTTAGCTTCAGTCTCCATCTGTTAAAAAAACCAAAGGTTTTCAGGAATCAGCAAACAAATATGGCCTGAAGCAGGCCAGATGTAGTCAAGCTCATTGATTTCTATCATGTTAATGGCTGTTTACCAGACAAAATGTCAGAGTGGAGACATAGCAGTTGCAAAAGAAACTATGTGGCCCATGAAATAATGAATCAGAAATATCTCCTATCTGATCCTTTACAGAAAAAAAATTCAACCCCTGGAGGTCTTGAAATTGAGTTTCAGTGTCTTAGTGTTTCATGAAGAAAGTTAAGGGGCCATTATGTTAGATGGGTTGAATAACTCTACCATTATGTATCATACTTCTGTACAAAGCTTTGAAAACATGATTGTTACAGCTCTGTATATTCATATTATTCATTCTTGTGTTGTTTTTCTAAAGAATGTATCTCTTCCCCCACCCCACCCCCACTGGTGGGCTACCACCTTACCTTATTCATCTCTTTATTGTTGTTTTGAGACTAAATCTTAGTGTATAACCCAGGCTCACCTCAATTTTCAATCATCTTGCCTCAGATTCTCCATGCTGTGGTTACAGGCATATGC